GGGTTTAGGGGTTTAGGGTCTAGGTAGAATATCTAAACCCTGACAGACTCCAGGATCACCCAAGCCACAAATGTCCGTAGCCTACCCTAAATCTCTTTCTGCACCCTAAGCCCCACAACCCCAACACTGCGAAGCCTGCACCCCTGAACTCAGACACAGCAGAAAAAAACCAAAGCAAAGCCCGAAACCAGAAATCCAGATTAAGGCTGATTCGGAACTTCAGGAAACCACTACCAAAAACTTAACGAGGAAGTCCTTCTTTGGGGGCCCCGTGCGTCTGGATGTTCAGCGGCTTCCGCAGGTCCCACAGCTTGACCTGTGTGGTTGTGGGTTGCTCTGGGCCGCACGGGTTTTGGCGTGAAGGGTTTAGGGTTTGGGGTTTAGGGTTTAGGGTTTAGGGTCTGGGGTGTTCGGGGTTTAGGTTACAAAGTTTAGGACGTTGAGTTTTGGGGTGGCTTTGGCTGATAGACTGCAGAAGCAAACGACACAAGTGGCACGTAGTCTTAACATAAACGTCTCAGAACCCTTACGTCATCCTGATACTGGGTTAAGTTATTGTGACAGCATGGAAGTGTCGTCAGCTTCATCCACCTCAGCATCAGTCGCATGGCCCAGCAGCAGCAAGCTTCATCGGCCCAAGCCCTAGGGCCCTAGAACACAAAACGCTTAGTCTCCGAGCCATAACCTACCCTGAACCCTAAACCGCCGTCCCTGCAGCCATGGAGCCGTTCCATCTTCCGACCTGAGCAGCATCGAAAAGCATCCTCCAAGCTATGAAGCTTTGGCTTGCCTATGCTTCAGGATTTGAGACAGCAAGATGGAATGGTATTTCATGGGTACCCAGCACGCATTACAAGCTGCAAGAAGCTCCAGCTTTGAGCCGTACAAGAGAGTTGGATAGCCAAGGTCCAGAGGGTTTGAGATTTCAGCGCTGAGAGTTTCTATCCACTGGGACATTTAATGTTTCTTCTTGGGGCGAATATCAGTTTAGGGCAGACAGCCAACCCAGTGGGGGTGGAACATGACAGAGGCGGATATCCTGTGCGCCGGCACGAGACTGCATCTAACCGCAGGCAAACCCCCAAACCCAACACCTCTAAGCCCCTAAACACTAACCGCTACCCTAAACCCAAGACCCCTCTCGAAGCTTTGGGCCCCCACCCGGTCGCGAGGTGGTAGCCATTCCCCGAGAAGCTGAGAGTCTGCGCATCGCGGCGGTGGCTTCGGGGTTTAGGGTTTAGGGTTCAGGGTTTAGGAGCTAGTGGGTTAGGGTTTAGGGTTTAGGGTTTAGGGTTTAGGGTTTAGGGTCTAGGGATTTAGGTTTGGGTTGCTCTGAAGGGCTCCTTTACTGGACTTTACCGGGCTCGTAGTATTTTTTGGCACAAGGCTTCGGGCTTGGAGTTCTGCGATTGCTTCAGGGGACGGTCGGTCGGGGTTCCATTCGGTGTTCGGAGTTAAACCCTAAACCCTAAACCCTAAACCCTAAACCCTAAACCCCTAAACCCTAAACCCTAAACCCTAAACCCTAAACCCTAAACCCTAAACCCTAGTTTAGGGCTTCCGGACGTAACCTTTGGCCCGCGTTACTTGTGTGGTTTGAGGAGTAGGGGGCCAGCTGAGAGCTTGTTGTCGGGGCGAAAGTCTACGACTAGTGCCTTCTAGACTTCTTGGTAGCCCTTCAAGTGTAACCTAAGACCTAGGAGAGCTCACCGTGTGCCCCAAGGATGCGGCTTCAAGCTCGGTGTCGCTCCTTTTCGTTACTCACTCCGCTGCAGTCAACCCCGACTCAGATGTGCACAATACGAAACCCTACACTGCGAAAGCCTGGTGCAAAGCATTCACTCATCCCTCGAAAGCTGGGGCCCAAAAGCCCCAAACACGAAACGTTCAGTCCCAAACCGGCAAGATCTAGCACATCCGCTTTCTATAATAACGTAAAATTCTAGACACGAAGCCATTTGCGGAACGCTTTGCCTTGACGGCGTCCTCATGCCCGGTGAGGCTTGCCACCACCTTCTGCTCCTCGCAGCGCTTCGCGTACGAACCCTAAACCGCACCCTGGAGTTGCAAGGATTTTCTGGGACTTAGAAGAGGAAAAACAGACTGGGCACCACACAGCCAGGCGCCTGACTGGCTCTCTTCGTCGTTTCTGCTTTCACGTGAGCTGTGGGTTCGGAGTGGGCTGCTACGTCATGGCTCTTTTAGCCACTCAAGACCCGCAAAAACGACACCACTAGGTCAGCGGGCATGCCTTACATTGTGTTTGTAGCAACCCTAAACCCTAAACCCTAAACCCTAAACCCTAAACCGTCGAGAACGTTGGACAACTCTGCATTCCATGGGCCACTTGCCCGAAGAGCCCCGCAAGGCAACGGGTCCTTGATGTCCCAGATCTGCACGGGTCCCCCCTGCAAATCGCTGGGGATGGCTCAGAACCCAGACCCCCGGGAGGATCTAGAAAGTAGAACCCCCAATTTGGGACCCTATACTGCTAAAGGGTCTTTGTAGGAACCCCCCTAAAGGGATCTACTTTCCAGATCCTTTCGGGGGTCTGGGAATTTATGTCTTGGGAAGAGGCTTCAGACTCCATCTTGGTTTCTTGCTATCCCGAATCATAGCCTTCACCTTGAACTCCAAGCTCTGCAAGTCGCGAACTTGCGGAAGGGGGATTGTGGGCTGAGAAGAAGGTGATATCTTATGCTATACTGATGTTTAGGAACCCTGAGGAATAGTATTGGTATTTATTCCGGCTTCTACAAGACAAGCGGTCTGCCCTCAAGATAGCCCAAGACATAAACCCAGAGCCGAAAAAAATCAGCCATCGAGCACGGATGTCTGTTCCAACTTCGTGTGGTGAAGCTGTTCGCTGTGCAGCAGACGGTAAAATGTGCAGGTTGCAATAATAATAATGTTGCTGCGATAGAGCCCAAAACCCTGATCCCTAAACCCTAAACCCTATAGGCGCCACACACTTCATCCCCCCAAAGCCCCAAATGGAAACTCTCAAAACCCTAAAACCGAAGAAAATCCGAAACAACAAAGAGGCAGCTCCCTGCGACCTGCCTGAGTCCCGGAGGCCATGATCATCCCATCCGGGTGCCACTTCATGCAGTTGAAGCCTTCAGTTTAGGGTTCTATGCTTTAGGCTTCAAGGGCTCAGGGCTTGCGCCCAGGGCTCCGCCGCATCTGCGGCAAGAGGGTCCTACCATTCGTGTCGTCTTCCGGCGTTGCTCTCAAGTACTTCTACCCATCCTCCATGCCACACATCAAGGCGCGAAAGAGCTGAGGCTATGAACCCGAAGTAATATGCAACAATGCATGCAGAAACACTAAACCCTCAACTTCATAAACCCTGAACTTCAAACAAATCCTATATCCTCAACCTCATAAACCATGAACTTCACAAACCCTCAACCCTAAACCCCGAAACCCATCATAAACCCTGAACTTCAGATAAACCCTAAACCCTAAACAACCCTTCATAAACCCTCAACGATCCCCCGGCCGGCTGTCGGGCTCGGGCTAGGAGCTCCCTAAGGATCTCTGGCTTTGAGCTTTGGGTTTAGGGTTTAGGCTTTAGGGTTTAGGATTTTGGATTTTTACTTACCCCCTTTATCCATGTGCATAAGCGTCAAGGGTTCCGGGTTTCGGGATATTGTGAAGGTTTTGGGATGGTTTGAGAGTTTAGGGCTTGCAGTTTGTGGACTTGGGGTTCCGACACCGCCCCAGATACTCTGGAGTTTCCTGCTATGTGGAGCTTTCGAGAACACGGAGGTGTTGTGGGCTTTGGGTGCAGGCGTTTAGGTTGCTTCATTTTGGAGTTGTAAGGTTTGGGCTCAGGGTTTACGGTGCATGACTTGAGAAGAAACAGAAGGATTTTGGGGCTGCAGTTGGTTTAAGAGGTGCCGAATGCCTTCTGCGAAGCCAGACGCGAGTCATAACCCGGAACCGCAACGCCTACTGCTGTTCTGTCATCATAACTTCCCCAATAAGCCGGGGAAATGAAAACTTAAACATTCAGATTACTAATAGATTATAAAAGCCCGAAAAGTTTAGAGGTTGGGTATTGGGGAACTATAAGCATAAACTTTCTGGCAGAAGAACTCCTTGCACCAAACATTAACCACAGCCCGCTTCATGCTGCCAGGAAGCCATGCTCCAGGTCACGCAGATGCTTGACCTTGAGCCCCGGGCTTGGGCAGGGTTGTCCCTCTTGCTTGGAGGTTCATGGGACTTAGCAACTACAGCTGCGAGTACCGTAATTGGGGCTACGGGTACTTATAAGTATAGTTACGTTAGGTATAACCTGAATTACTAAGAACCGTGAAGCCTTAAGTAGGGATGGAAAGCAGTTCACTAAAGCCGAGTTCCCATTGAAAAACACGCCCAAAAGCGTCAGGAAAACTCAGAAAACCCTAAACCCTAAACCTTAAACCCTAAACCCTAAACCTGAAGCACCGTCCCTAAACTCGATGTAATCTAAGCCGCGATACCGAAACCCCGAAACCTAAACCCCTAAATCAAGCCGGAAACCCTAATGAGCTAAACCAGAAGACCCAACATAGGAACCCTAAACCTTAAACCCTAAACTCCCTAAACCCTGAATCCTAACCGGGAAACCGGAAACTTTCCAAGGAAACGTCACGAAAAGCCGAGCGGCACAGCGCCCAGACTCCAGCTCGAAGACAGCCTCAAAACATGTGCATCATCAGGGCTTCGTTGAAGGGTTTAGGGTTTAGGGTTTGGGGTTTAGGGTTTAGGGTTTAGGGTTTAGGGTTTAGGGTTTAGGGTTTAGGGTTCAAGGAGTCTGTAAAGGTTCCTCTAAAGTGGGGGTTCCATCAAGGGTTCGTTTTAGGGCTTACCAGAAGTAGGGCTCTGAGTTTAGGGCTTGAGGCTTAGGGCTTGAGGTGCCAGGGCGGTGTTGAAGGGCCTTTCTTGGTGATTTGTATTTGGATTTCGGCTCCCCAAGCCGTAAAGCCTAAAGTTTAGGCTTCCTAAACCCTAAAAGTGTAGGATCACAAAAGACTTCCCACTCCCTTCACGACACCCAAATCCTTCACCCGTTAAGCCGACCCCCGTCGCAAGACCTTGCAAACAGAGACTCCGAAACCCTCTATTTTCGGAATGTACCTTACATCATTGTGAAGGAGCCCTCCCTAATTAAGTTATTGCTTCTTGAGTAGAGTATGAACAAGATACTACTCAAACCCACTTCGAGGGCTGCCGAGAGTCCCAGGACTTGTCCAACCCGCTGCTCAAGAAGTAGTCGCCTCCGAGATCAGGGGTTTAGGGTTCACCCTACACCCTAAACCCCTGAACCCTGAACCCTAAGCCCAATGGGGTGTGGGGTGTAGGGTTTTAGGGTTTAGGGTTTCGGGCCGGGAAGGCTAGCCATCGGGCTGGTGTAAGGTGACTCATAGGCCTACTAATCGGATCATCATAGGGCTAATGTAGGGGCCTAGATAATTACCAATACTAGTTTGGGGTTCGTTACTGTAATTGTACTATAATGGGCCCCAAAACCTTAGTCTAACCATTAAGACCCCTATATTATGGTGCTTTTGTTCTAGGGTTTCTGGCTGGTATTCAAGGTCTGAGTCTGTTGGGGGCCAGGGTCCTTTTGGGATTGCGGCTGCGGGGGTGGAAAGCTTGGGGCCTAAGGCTTGGAAGATGTGCACGAAATGGGAGTTTCCGAAAATTCGGGGTACCTTATTTTGGGGCCCTTATAATTAGGATCCTACTATTTAGGGTACTCTATTAGGGTCCTCTATTTTCGGAAAGCGATGATGGCAACGGCAACGCAGCACCCAAGGGCCCGGACTGCCAGGTAGCTACAGCTATCGGCCTACTACAAAGACGCACCGCGAACCTCCAAGTAGAGATTGCATCTTCGGGCCCAGAAGAAAAGATTCTCCGCTTGTGATCCTGAATCCATTCACTCATCCGGCTGAGAATCGAAAGTCCCTTGAAACCTAAAGTCTGATCCTACATCCCGAGAGTGGACGATCAAACCCAAGCCCAACACATCTCATGAGTTAGACCCTGAATGGGTAGTTCTGTAAATTAGGGTCCCTTTTTAGGTCCCCAAAACAGTGAGGCACCCTTATAACAATGGACTCCAAAAGGGACCCTAATTTAGAGAACTACCCAAATGCAGAAGCATCAACCAAACCCGAAAACTCTTCTCTGTCAACCTGTTGACGGTACGAATCCGGAGCCCGCGCCTAGAGGATGGATGGAGATATCGCTCACCTGTGTCGTGGTTGCTCTGAGGGCTAGGGGATTGGTTCTAGAATGCGTTGATGCTACACCCTCAACCCTAAGCCCTACCTAGACCCCAAGGAACCTACAAATTTCAGGATTCAATATAAAGAAATCATAATAAGGAGCCCTAGAAGGGAGGTTCTTTGGAGGTACCCTAAACCCTAAACCCTAAACCCTAAACCCTAAACCCTAAACCCTAAACCCTAAACCCTAAACCCTAAACCCTAAACCCTAAACCCTAAACCCTTTAATATGAAACAACCGGAAGATCCACGACCGGGCGGATCTATAACCTCTTAGGAGCCAGGCTCGGCTCAGGGCATGTGGGTAGTTCTCCAAGTTAGGGTCCCTTATAGGTGTCCTTTTTTAAGGGTGCCGTACTATATTGGGGACCCAGAAAGAGACNNCCTAATTTAGAGAACTACGCATGTGGGTTGATCGTTCCAGGTTTTGAATTACAGGGTGTAGGGGTCAGGAACTGAACTTTAGGGCGTTTGGGTTGACGTCTGGGGTCGAGGATCGTGGGCCGGGCGAATGTAGGATTTAGGGGTTGGCTAGGTCTGAAGACCACTTCACTGAACGAAGGCAGCTGGCAGCCCGAATCCCAAACTTCAAACCCGAAGCCGTAAACTCCGAACCTTAAACCCGAAACCCTAAA